TGGAATGATTCCTTTTTGGGGAATGCAGATATGTATTTTAATGACTCCTTGAGTTAGAACAATATTTTAGCGATTGATGTACTTGGTCATCTTTTGTTAATGTTGTCATACAAAAAATCTATAAAAGGTGTCATCCGTCATGACGTTTTTTATGGTGACTATTAAGAAATGGAAAAGACCTGTGATTTTCTTAGACGGCTATAGAACAGCAAAAACGAGATGTCCCTTATGTAATTAAAACTACTAAGGAACTAATTGAGCGAAATAGTTCTGGCTGATTTATATTTGGAGACAGAATTTTACTGTCGACACCCAAAAGTGACGACATCAGGCTCCTGTCTTGTACCCGTACCTATTTGCAAGAGATTTTATCAGCTTCTTAAATTAATGACCAAAACATGATGATGCTAACGATGACATTATGCCACAACTGTTCTGTCGTCCTTTCCCGGGAATTTATATTCCCGTTCAAAATCTCCGTCTTCTACTTGCACCGGTTCATTCAGTTTGTCTTTTGCCCCCAAAAAGTCGTGTTCGACTGCTCGGTTATCCGCTTGGTTGCTGATAAGCGCGCTAGTCTCCGTTGATTCAACAATCTTCTCTGCCCTTGGCGGGTCTGGAATCTGATCATGACAGTGACAGCATCTGCACAGTAGAACCCTTTGGACAATTGACAGTCGCCTCCAGACACAAACAAAGAGGATTACCAAGACAAGAAGACTTGCTCCAAGAAGAATTGGCAACAAGATCTTCAACTCCCAATTCGAATTCAAATCTGAAAAAATATACATATCATGATAAGTTATGAGGTAAGTTTCACTGGGAAGTATTAAAACGCACGCGTAAGCACATGATTAAAACCGGGAGGATGATTGCTTTTTTGAGTCTACGTATTTTTATTAAATAGTTCGTCCAGAGGAATTATGCCTGCTTCTAGTGAAAAATTAAACGACCGATAAACGCAATAGGGTCTCGGTTCATCAATTCACCTTGTCGCTTGAAAATGGTTCTTGCTTTGCCTCCCTCATCCAGCTGTTAATACAATGTCGACTTTTATTTAACCAATCAAACCGATGTTTATAAACGTTGGCTTTTAATTAAGAGAGTTAGGGAAGCTAAATATTGAATAACGATTTCCCACTCTAATAGACTTTGGCACTGGATGGAATTTTTTCAGTTGTTCTAAGGACGTTTGATCAGGCTGTAGTACGTCCTCGCGTATTATCCATTATTCAAGTTACTAAGACTCTTAACTAGATTGAGAAGACAACATCCCCTATTAAAACCGTGTCCGAACAAATTACGCGTTGAGTGTAACCAATAGCCAATGAGATTGCTCCTGATTAACTTAACAAACACAGAATTGGCGAACTGTTTCCAAAAAAATTGTGGCATCCTTTTCCCAAAACCTAATCCTCGTGAAAATTAAAGTCATTAAAATGCTTTCAAACAGCTTTGAAAGGAGCAGCACCATCGTGGACTTCCTATACCACTAACCAAAACTAAACAAAATTATGATACCAACTACTCATAACTGAAGAGAAATCCTGATACATAGCTTGTTACCTTAACAATATTTAGAAACATTTCTTAC